TTTCACATCAACATGTTGATTCAGGAAGATTGAGAATGAACAGCAAGTACGGTGTGAGATTCCAAACACACATTTACGGTACTTTGAAACTGTTCTTCTCCCTTAGCCCGAGAAATCTGTCTAGCACGGCAGGGAATGATGAAGACCTGCTTTCCTCTTTAAAGAGGGGCCTCCGATTTCTGATGTTGGTTTCCCTCCGTAACGATGGTTCCGTTTCCACAGATGCAGCAGCCCGGGCCTTCAGGAGAGGAGCTGTAAAATGATACTCATGCCGGGGCCACGTTCCAGAGCTGCTGAGGGGACAGTGTCCGGCATCCTTCCCTTTACGAATGCTCCTCGGGAGCTCTGATGCACGGCTGAGGTTGAGGGACATAGGCACACACTCCACTTCACCTGTCCTGCCCGTGTCCTGTCTGTCAATACAATCTCAGACTGCATAGCCTTGTCTGTTGTTACAGAATTAAAAACAAATTTCATCATGTTCCTTGTTTTCGAGAGCTGTTTGTGCCATATCTATTCTACAGCCATGTGTAGAACAATTTCAAGGCCTCAGGGGCGTGTTTATGCCACCACTTCCCTGTTCCTACTTGACAGCCCGCAGGCCGCAGGGAGGGAGAAGGGCCTCACAGCTGGAAAGGGATCTGGAGTTCTGTTGTCTTGGAAACCGCGCTGCCGCTCATCCCCACGGGCTCACTCAGCTCCAGCAGGGGCCCTGTGGGTGAGGCACCAGCCCTTCCCACTCTCCATGTCTTGCTGTGACCAGAGATTGAAGCTGAGGGCTGAGGCTGGTTACCAGGGAAACCGAAGCCGAGCCCTGGGGATGTGTGAATAGAAAAGCACGTAAGCGGGGTTCAGGGCCAGGAGGGATTATGGGAGCCACCCACAGACGTGGAACGGTGACTCATTAGTGATGTGCAAGCACAGGGTGCCTGCGCACACGCCGGCACACAGACACACACACACAGACACACATGTGGACACGTGCACTGACCAACACTCCTTCTGCCCAGACGTGCACAGTGACTCCGGCTGGCTGGAGCGTCACATCCACACA